TGTTAAACGTATTATAGTATATATCAATTTTCTACCTCATTTGTTTAGCTCTAAAACATTTGCTAAATGGACCATTTTGAGTGCAGTTTCTATAAAATTATTAAAATCCTACCCATTTTCATCTGGAAAGGTCACACATTTAAAATGTGTGGCAACTCTGCATGTAATTTTTGTACAAAATATGAACTGTGAACCAGTCTGTGTTTTTTTTTTTCTCACCACTTTCGTTTCGCTAAATATGTTTATTGCATTGGAAACATCACTCTAAATAAAATGGCTGAATTCAATAGGCCTATTCACTCACACACTGAATAGGTTGTGCCATTCAAAACATTTATAATCCACAATCGATGTTGAGATTCTAGGCTAGGCTATACCTATTACGTATGCTACTAAGAAAAAGGGATACGGGACTGGAAAAGATGGTAGGATAGTGAATGGCAACAAGACATTTCAAATCGTTGCACACACACACACACACACACACAGCCCTGAGGTAGGAGCATTATGGCTGACTCCACTGTTCCAGTCTTTCTCTATGGAGACAGACTTTACCATCAGCATCCTATCTTTAGTTAAACAAATGCAGCTTTCTTTCTTTCTTTCTTTCTTTCTTTCTTTCTTTCTTTCTTTCTTTCTTTCTTTCTTTCTTTCTTTCTTTCTTTCTTTCTTTCTTTCTTTCTGACAGAAGAAGGCATGATAGAATGTATTAATCTCCGTCCATTCTCATCGAAAGTGCTGTCACTCTTGCGCATCTCCTGTAATGAGACACATCATTTATCCGCCTGTTCTCTGGGTGTTGAGTGTCTGAGAGAGATTTTAGCACGTTTCCGTCAGAAACTCGTGACAAAGAGAGAGAAGGTATGAGGGAGTAGGTGTGCTGCCTGCGAACTGCGCGAAAAAGTGTGTTTGCATATGTTTATGTGCGCGTGTGGCACCTTCTCAGTTCACTCCAGGCACTGTGAGAATCAAACAATTTCATGCAGCGAGCAGAAGGGGAAATGAACTGAGCCGTGAGCCATAATAAAATTATCCAAATGTTATTATGGCGCCGGCTGCCTCTGTCCTACTTTAATACACATTTCAGATCCTCCGGGTCTCCTGCTGGCACTAGCCCTGCTGAATAAATCAACATTAGCTTATGTCTAAATTATTAAGGAAGTGACTTAGGCTCCTGTTTATTGTATAAATTATTAGGAGGGTGAAAGTGTTAAATGCTAGATTTACCATTTAAAATGCAAAAATTCCCTAAGTAACGGCTATTTCTCGGAGTTTCCGCATGTGTTTGTGTGATGCATGTGCACGTGCGCATCCCTGCGAGAGAAGAAAGACGAGCGTTTGCGCGAATGTGTGTATCCCTGGGGTTAACATGGTAAGGTGATAATTAAAATGGCACAGCTTTTCTTTTTAAAACCTTAATTATAAAACGGATTGCTACTTCCGCATTTACATTTTGTGTTTCACTTTTTTGATGGTCCCTTTAACATATTCTGGTAACGCTACATCTACTAACTCTGAGTTAGTGTTAAAGAGTCAGTTAGAGTGACAGCCTAGGGTTAGAATAGGCCTACATTGACATGAAGTTACCATCAAAAAAGTTAGCAGATTAAGCAGACACTCTAATGAGAGTTAGTTGACATGTTTGTTCATAACCAAATTTTGATTGGATGAGCCCTATTCAAAGCCATTTAAATGCTTAACCACATCTGAGATTTTCATTTTAATCTTATTTAGGAAAAACACACATAAACTGCCTGATATTATCAGTGAAACAATTGTTACACCTGTTTATCAAAAAAACAAAAAAACAAAAACAAAACAAAACAAATCAGGCTAGCGACCAATGATTTTTTTAACCAATCAGAATTTTTTTTGGATGATATATCATGAATGTTATATAATAATTATAATGTTAGCTATTTTTATTGATTTGTGCTTTCTGTCACTCATACAGTTTCCTTAAAGGTCAATAAGCTTTGCACAAGAAGCTCTCTTTAAAGCTGCAGCCCGTAGTTTTTCCTTTTTGCCGCCATCTTATAAGATAAGATGAATATTTTCTTTTCATTCTCTTATAAGATAAGAGAAAAGGCTATAAATCTCCACCTCCAACATCCTCACACGCAATATAACCTAGCCAAGACTCTTCTTTATGTGTACAGATGTGACATAATGACTCAATATAGCCTACTAGCCGATACTCCTTCTTTGTGTACAGATGTGACATAATGACGCAATATAGCCTACTAGCCGAGACTCTTTTTTATGTGTACAGATGTGACATAATGACTCAATATAGCCTACTAGCCTAGACTCTTCTTTAGATGTGACGTAATGACTCAATATAGCCTACTAGCCGAGACTCTTCTTTATGTGTACAGATGTGATGTAATGACTCAATATAGCCTACTAGCCGAGACTCTTCTTTATGTGTACAGATGTGACATAATGACGCAATATAGCCTACTAGCCGAGACTCTTCTTTAGATGTGACGTAATGACTCAATATAGCCTACTAGCCGAGACTCTTCTGTGTGTGTACAGATGTGACATAATGACTCAATATAGTCTACTAGCCGAGACTCTTCTTTAGATGTGACGTAATGACTCAATATAGCCCACTAGCCGAGACTCTTCTTTATGTGTACAGATGTGATGTAATGACGCAATATAGCCTACTAGCCGAGACTCTTCTTTATGTGTACAGATGTGACATGACTCAATATAGTCTACTAGCCGAGACTCTTCTTTATGTGTACAGATGTGACGTAATGACTCAATATAGTCTACTAGCCGAGACTCTTCTTTATGTGTACAGATGTGACATAATGACTCAATATAGTCTACTAGCCGAGACTCTTCTTTATGTGTACAGATGTGACATAATGACTCAATATAGTCTACTAGCCGAGACTCTTCTTCATGTGTACAGATGTGACGTAATGACTCAATATAGCCTACTAGCCGAGACTCTTCTTTATGTGTACAGATGTGACATAATGACTCAATATAGTCTACTAGCCAAGACTCTTCTTTAGATGTGACGTAATGACTCAATATAGCCTACTAGCCGAGACTCTTCTTTATGTGTACAGATGTGACATAATGACTCAATATAGTCTACTAGCCGAGACTCTTCTTTATGTGTACAGATGTGACATAATGACTCAATATAGTCTACTAGCCGAGACTCTTCTTTAGCTGTGACGTAATGACTCAATATAGCCTACTAGCCGAGACTCTTCTTTATGTGTACAGATGTGACATAATGACTCAATATAGTCTACTAGCCGAGACTCTTCTTTATGTGTACAGATGTGACATAATGACTCAATATAGTCTACTAGCCGAGACTCTTCTTTATGTGTACAGATGTGACATAATGACTCAATATAGTCTACTAGCCGAGACTCTTCTTTAGCTGTGACGTAATGACTCAATATAGCCTACTAGCCGAGACTCTTCTTTATGTGTACAGATGTGACGTAATGACTCAATATAGTCTACTAGCCGAGACTCTTCTTTAGCTGTGACGTAATGACTCAATATAGCCTACTAGCCGAGACTCTTCTTTATGTGTACAGATGTGACATAATGACTCAATATAGTCTACTAGCCGAGACTCTTCTTTATGTGTACAGATGTGACATAATGACTCAATATAGTCTACTAGCCGAGACTCTTCTTTATGTGTACAGATGTGACATAATGACTCAATATAGCCTACTAGCCGAGACTCTTCTTTAGCTGTGACGTAATGACTCAATATAGCCTACTAGCCGAGACTCTTCTTTATGTGTACAGATGTGACGTAATGACTCAATATAGTCTACTAGCCGAGACTCTTCTTTATGTGTACAGATGTGACATAATGACGCAATATAGCCTACTAGCCGAGACTCTTCTTTATGTGTACAGATGTGACATAATGACTCAATATAGTCTACTAGCCAAGACTCTTCTTTAGATGTGACGTAATGACTCAATATAGCCCACTAGCCAAGACTCTTCTGTGTGTGCACAGATGTGATGAATTGACGCATGCTTGAATCTCTCGTGGAAATCCACCAGTACCACTGAAATTAAAAACATTATTACAAGCTTACCATTTCAAATCCAGCTAAGGCAAGAAGAGAGTTTTGTAGACTGGCTGGTTATGTACTTGCTCAATTTAGTTTGGATAATTTTGAACCCAAAAACGTTACGGACTGCAGCTTTAAGTCTGCAGACTATTTAACACTCAAACCATATGTTACACTCAGGAAGACCAGAATGGCATTCTTGAAGATGTAGACACAACCTTCCAGGCTTCCACACACATCCCATCACTTTCATTTGTCTCCAGGAATATTCATTGGGCTGCTTAATATTACACAAAACCCCAGTGTAAGCTTGCATGAATATTCATATTGTTTATTGTTTTTAGCCCCTGGCTTCAACTGTCACATAAAACTTTTGTGTATGTGCATAACACATGTATGTTTTTGTATGTTTCTAATGCGCATCGGTCTAAATTACTTAATGTGCTTTTGCAATTTTCATCACTTGTTTAAATAATGGGGTTTAAATAATGTCTGTAATGACTTGAGTCTGTGAATTTGGATTAATGCACAATCATTTACATACACACATACGCACACACACACACACACACACACACACACACACACACACACTTTGATGCTGGTATAGTTTGGGCAGCTTTATGTGCGTATAAAGTCACATGGGAAAATAAATATTTTAACAGACTAACTGCTGAGTTTTTTCTTTCTCCAATTAATTTAAATGGAGCAATTAAGATTTAAATTTCCATAAATAGCTAATGGAGGGCTTGAATTGTGGAGGGCTGCCTCTGTTACAGTCAAAAGCCTTGGGATTAACCACCTTCTTAATTATAAATAAAAAATTCTGATTTCTACACATACACACCGTGATTGCTGCAGCTTTAAACCAATGAATTTACAGGATTTTTCCATCATTTTCTCAGTTGTATGGCAAAAGGATATTAAAAAGAAATCGCACATTTATTGCAAATATAAAGAACAAATTATTGCAAACTACTTTTTTTCCCTTTTTACAGCTGAGCATCATTAGAACATCATTACATTCAACAGAAATTCACACAACTTTTTACATTTTTATGAATATACCTGTTATTTAAGCCATGAAATCAAACAATCAAACAATATTAAAATGATTAAAAACAATATATTCAGGTTTTTCAAGCCCACACACATTCTGACTAAATGAAGGAAAGGGAGTGTTATAAAAGTGAAACTGAGAATGAGACTTATTTAAGAGGAGATGGGAGCTAAACTGTCCCCCAAAAAACAATATTTCATAACAAAAAAAAAAAAAAAAAAAAAAAAAATCTGGTAGTCTACTTATCGCCAACAGATAAATAAATCTGCTCACCATTGCTGGAGTTTCAGGTTTACGAGGCAGTTTAAGGATGTGCTGTCCTCTGCTGGTAAAGAGATGTAAATGCCTGTAAAATGAATTATTATGGAAGCCTATTATTTCTATAACTCTGTGGGTAAAATGGGCTTCTGTAAGAAATTCTTGTTACTTTTCTTTAATAATATAATATAATATAATATAATATAATATAATATAATATAATATAATATAATATACATCACTTGATTACACAAAATTGTATGCATCCAATACATGGCAGATAATTAATCAGCCTAAAATAATGTAAGTTGGATATGAAAGAACTGACACAATAGGACACAATAAACTTGTGTTTTGTGTGCATGTGTCGTAAAAGTCATGCATTTTAGGCTCAAAAATAAAATAAAAGTCATGCAGGGTTGCAATTATACAGATTTCTGAGAGCGAGATTCAAAGACATAACATATCCATAACCTTAAGGAAAAAATTCAATATAAAAATACATTAAATTTGAAAGCGAGAGGGTGAGGACAGAAGTAAGAGGGGGTTAATATTTCTACAGAGTGCACTGAGAAGGAAAATGGTCTGCATTACTATGGTGATGATCTAATCTCAACCCATGATTGCCAGGTAATAACCCGTAAACCAAAGAAAACCGTTACAGTTGCTTAAATGTGAGAATCCCATTTAGTTATTGATTCTGTGGTTGATGAGGTGCATCTGCTAAAGGATGTTCAGTGACTGGCTAAAATCTTCAAAGTGGATTCTATTGGATATGAGATCTATGGGCTGTGACTGGCATACAGGGAAGAGCGTTTAAAGCGAGTTCAAAGACAGACCATTAGGTGGTTTAGCTCATTCTTAATGATTCAAGTCAAGTGTTTGGAGTCGTTCGGTAGAAGATTTCTACACAAACGCACACTGTGACTCTAGATCAGATCTGTTTCTTTGAGCTCATTAATGTTGAGCTGTTCCTCCTCAGTGGCTCTCACTAGTCATACAGACGACAGCACTTCTCCAGCAGACTCCCTCTGCTTCTTCTCTGCCCTCTCCAGGTCCAGCACTCGGATCGCTGCCTGCTTGGCCATGAGCTGAGCTTGATCGCTGGGGTACGACTCCGTGTCCACAACCCGATACGGGTCGATTTGGAAGGGGCTCTTGGAGAGGACGTCGGCATAGCGACGCTTCAGGTCAGGGTCGGGACAGAATAGATATTCGTACACAGCGGCGGCCAGGATGCCCCCTATTAAAGGGCCCACCCAGTATACCTGAGAGAGAGAAATTATAAATCTTGCTCAAAAATATACTGTGGGAATTTATGCGAATTTAATGAAATTAAACTATGAAATCAAATTGTGAGTTTTATGATTTAAATGTACTTTTTAATACATTTGTTTTAATTAACTTCTCACTCAAAGTGAGTTTTAGGATTTTGAAAATGATATTATGTAAAATGAAATATTTAAGATTCTGCACCAATGTGTACAATTTATTAAGTTTCTATTAATTGACCCTTCGCTAAGCCCCGCCCTCCCTAGTTACTGTTGCTACGCCTGTCAAGCTTTCGCGACTGGCCTATTATAGTGTGGATGCACCCGGTGTCAGACATTCCCAATGAGATAATTAGAAATTTTCGGCGAACAAGTGAAATATCTGAGAGAGCAAGACAAAAGGGACTACAGTATGCATTCGAGGGATATATTCACGACATTATATGCAACCGATTAGAGAATAATTTCTTAAAAATTGAAGTTAAAGCCTAACGTTATAGTCCCAGTGCAAGCAGCAGCGCCTCATACTCTGACCGTTCAAATGGAAAACACAAATTAAGGAACAGCTATGTTCATACACAGCAGGGTATGTGAAAATAATCTTAATAATTATAAATCAAACAGCTTATCAATAAATCTTGTGGAATAACTAATACCGGGAGAGCCGCGATCGGATTGGGTTAAGTTAAGGGGTAACGTTAGTAGGACGTCGATTAACAAAATGCTGAAATATATTTTAAAGTATGTCAGTGAGCTTTTGTCTTGTCTCTTTGATAGTCTTATTTTACGTTATCATTATGACCAAAGCGTCAATATTTCCAAGCAATGGGTGTTTTTGTTAAGCATGTCGACATTTACCAGAATGGGTCTCGACTCGCACATAGATGCTAGATCACGCCAATCATTTCTCCCCTTGGCTTTTAGATTTTCTGGAAGGAAAACAATTCCTCTCCCCCGTCCAAACTTTTAGTATACCGGTATCAGATTTGCACAATCCATACGCACAATGCTTCAGCATGTAATGTTTCCCTCGTTCGAAAGCTTGCCAGACCTCCCGCGCATAGTTACGGTTGCTAAGACATGATTGGCCAGTGGCGGTTTTCGGGCGTGGCTTAGCGAAGGGTCAATTCATTTATTTGAATTAAATGTATTAAATTAATTAAATAATGAAAACAATTAAGACATTTTATTATGTACAAATAATAAATATTTACTATATATCTGCATTTATATGTAATTGTGTTCTGAATCATTGGCACCCCTTGTAAATATGATCAAAGATGACTGTAAAAGTAAATCTACATTGTTTATACTTTTGATCTTTCATTCATGAAAAGTCGCAAAAATTTAACCTTTCATTGAAGCAAAATAACTGAATTTGGGGGGAAATCTCATTATGTTTTCTCCTATAACACCTGATGAGTTTGGAGAACACCTGACCAGAGATCAGAAACCATTCCTCTGTAATGAATCTCTCCAGATCCTTCAGATTCCCAGATCCGTATTGCGCTTCTTTTCTTCACTTTATCCCACTCATTTTCTAAAGGGTTCAGTTTAGGGGACTGGGACGGCCATGGTAGAACTTATTTTTGTGCACGACACATTTTTGTTGATTTTGATGTTGTTTTGGACAGTTATCGTAATGGAAGATCATACCACGGCCCATTATAAGATTTCTGACAGAGGTTGTCAGGTTTTGATTTTTTTTTCTCTGTTTGATAGAATCCATTATACCAGGGGTTCTCAAACATTTTGGTGCCAGGGACCCCTTTCAGGGGAAAAAAAATTCCAAGGACCCCCCTCATATTTATAACAGTTATTGAGCACAAAGTTAATGTGTGAGCGGCAAATGAAATATTTTTGCACAAAATGAATGGTCTCCACCCAGGGTACTATGCAGGAATTTCTAAATAGCCTACTGAGGTAACGAAAGTGATCTTGCTAGGAATCACTTAGTTAGGATCCCTCACTTAGGAATTTTTGATGTTCTTGATCTACACATGTGCATTTTAAGGTGTTTTAAGGCCCCACAATTGGATAACTATAGATTTAGTAGAAGCATGTCAGTCAGTGGCATACATTTTTTTTTTTTTTTGTCAAGATGTCACGAAACACAATCACATATTCCAATCAGGAATGGCCTTAAAAGAGAAATGTTTCAATAATTAGGCCTATTCTGCACACAAATAAAGCCCATAAGCCTATAAATACAATGATAATGGCATTATGTTTAATAGGTGCGTGCGTTGTTAATTTGAGCTACTGTAATTAGCTAAAAAAAACATACAGTATATGTTAAATATATGAATCCATAATGTTAATCTCATGGGCACAGTATGTTTCTATTGACCTGCTTTTTCCTTTTTTAAAGTTGAGCTTGATTAATACTTTTGCAAACTGATTGTTTCAGTCGTTTTTTAAAACTTTTATCTAAAACAGCTGTTTAGTTTATGTTAATTAAGGCCTACATCTTATCTCGCACTTTATGACCGTTGACTGAAACGTCGTGCGGGGAACTTTGAGTTCACTCCGACTCAAACATTTTGACATTGACGAGCTATCGTTGTTAGTCTGCTGAAGCACCTCAGACGAGAAGGTCAGTATCATCGCGATGTGCATCCTTGCAACCTCAGTTGTGGGTACGGCCCTGTCACTATGCACTTTTATTTTGATAATGATCAGACTTCTAATGTCAAATCTACAGTAGCAGTGCTAGAACTGACTATTGTGCGCGCATGCGAGACGCCGGCGCGCAATTACATGGGAATTTTTCCTCAGCAGTGGAAACAGGAATACTCTTATTTATGGTCATAGATAAGACAAGAGTGCATCATCCGAAACGGTAAAGTGTCCATTTTTTATTTGTGTATAGGCTACATTATAAATGACTACAAAATGTCATGCCTTTTAAAAATACAGAAAAGAACCGGATGCGGGTTCATGCCGTCTCTCTGTCTCCTTTCTGGCGCACGTCCCGCAAAATCAACAGCAGCGAATCTACTTGACGCAAAGACATAGATTATCTATCTATAGAAAACTTTAAGTGTCTACTTTGTATTGTTTTATGTTAAATGCTTTATATAAGTTACTTAGGAATAAACAGCATGTTTTCAGATGATAAAGAAAACATGACTCATAGCATGGAAAAAAACGTTAGGTTGTAAATTATTTCGCGGACCCCCTGGCTTTAGCTCGCGGACCCCCAGGGGTCCGCGGACCCCACTTTGAGAACCACTGCATTATACCATGTCTGAACAAGATGTCCAGGACCTCCTGCAAAAAAATGGCCCACAACATTAAAGATCCAGCAGTATATTTAACCGTAGGCATGGGGTTCTTTTATCCCTGCTTGCACCAAACACATCTGGTGTGTTTGCTGCCAAAAAACTATTTTTTCTGTTTCAACAAGTTTCATCTGACCACAGAAATCCAGTCCCTTTTTACAGTTATGTCTGACAACTGAATATTCTGGAGTTTGTTTTTGGATGAGAGCAGAGGATTTTTTTTGAAACCCTTCTCTCAAGTGGGGGTTTAATAATGCATTGAGTTAGTGTTCAGGGATGCATAGAGTTCGAATGTATGAGTTTGTTGACTTGGGTCTGAAAGCTCAGTTGGATTGAAGTAAAAGTTACGATAAGTTGATGTTATTCTCTGTCAGTGTGAGCTTTTCAAACAGAACAACCCTCCCAAACAACATGTGGTGATGTAGGGGTTGTTTGACTTGGGTTTTTTTTTTTTTGTTGTTTGTTTTAGGCTTCTGACCCCCAAGACAAGTAATCTCAGCAATTTTCCATCTGTGATTTTTGAAGAGTCTTTGGCCACTCAAACTCTCCTCCTCAGCGCGCATTAAGACGATATACACACACGTCCTCTTACTGGCAGATTCGTAACATCTTTAGTTGACTGAACTTTGGTGGAAATGGGACTTTTTAATGCTTTAGCTATTTTTTTATAGCCACTTTCTGTGTAGTAAAGCTCAGCTATGTTTTGCTGCACATCAGAACTATATTCTTTGGTTTTACTCATTGTAATGGATAATTAAGGGAATTTGGCCTTTGAGTTTCCTCATATTTAAACTCCTGTGAAACAAAAAGTCATATATATATGAAGAGTTCAGATGCAAAAGCCTCTAAATGCCATTTGAAATTTTCTTCTTTAATGATGATTTTTATCAAACTTGTATATTTAAGTTCAGTAATTTTACTTAAATGGCAATGATAATTACCTATTAATTGTTATTTAAGTGAAATTACTGAACTTAAATTTACAAGTTTCATAAAAATCATCATTAAAGAAGAAAATTTCAAATGGCATTTAGAGGCTTTTGCATCTGAACTCTTCATATATATATATATATATGCATTAATTTAATATACAATATTAGATTTATTAATTATTTTAATTAATTTCAATTAATATAATGAATATTAAACTTAATATTATATACAAGTATATATAATATAATGAATATTAAACTCTGTCTGATATATGTATATTATCAGTGTGACGAGGAAAATGACTCCAAAAGTGTATTGACTAACTGCTGTGACGACATAAATAGAAGTAGGTGCGACCGTCTGCATAGCGCAGGCCAGATACATTTACCCTGCATAACCCCGGACAGTGTCCAAAAATGCAATTTGTTTATCTCATTATTTCCAAACGATTATATATAAAGTATAATGATCACCAGCAGCTCTCATTAGTGTAACAGTGCCAGTGTGACCTTCATGCTGCTTCACTTGACTTCTGATGCATTGCTTTCATTCATAATTTCATAAAATCATTGATGAAACTTACACCAACGCCTTGAAAAGAGCACTGTGCATAGCATGGTGTAAGTGCGGTAAACACTCCATGAAAGAAATGTTTTGACCTTTCTAATGTAACAGCACCACGGGGGAGACCCTGTATCAACCCTGATGACAGCAGCAGTCACTCAGACGCGCCACTCATGAAGATCCATAACACTCATATGAGCATGTAGGGAGCACACCAACCAGTATCATGTGTTGTTTTGAAGGCCACATCTGTTTGCTTTTTTGACTGCTCTACAGTGTCTCAAGAAGAATGACATTTGAAAATCGCACAAGCAAGAGAGCTGCAGCATGTCTCGCAGCCAGCTAATATTAAGTACACCAGCAGGATTGAGAGTATGGTGCTTTTATACAACAGTTCTAGACTGATATAGTCAAAATGAATTAATCCAGTATATCGAGATTCATGGTAAAGGTCTGTGGCAGGTCAGAGATAAGTGTCTTCATGTGCCAGATATAGTTCAGGCTCCTTCGTAGGAGTGAAACTAAGCCAAAATTCTCTTCTAAAAAAAGTTTTGGCATTGAATCAAATTCTCATCAGCTTCACTTTTATCAATCACAGTTCCTTCCTGACCTTCAATCTTAATGCACATAAATATCAATGTATGGTTTAGAAAGAACTTAAAGGGATAGTTCACCCCAAAATTAAAAAAAATGTCATCATTTATGCACCCTCAAGTTATGCACCCGAAGTCTTTCTTCGGTTTACCGACATTCTTCAAAATATCTTCCTTTGTGTTGAGCAGAAGAAAGCAATTCATACACGTTTGGGACAACTTGAGGGTGAGTAAATGACAGATTTTTTTTACAGATCTCTTTAATGAGACTTTCTATTGTTTATCCACACACAGAGTATATTGTGTGAATCTTACCCAATGGTCCTCCCATTTTCCCATGATGACCACAGGACCAAAAGAGCGAGCTGGATTCATACTGGCTCCAGTGTATGGGATCTGAAACACAGACAAAACATGTTACACTTGTTATGAATTGCATGAATTTTGCAACATAGGCTTATTGGAAAAAGAAAAACGTGCCTCTAGTTACATTTTTGCAAAACTCTAAAAATGTGCTTAAACTATACAATTCACTGCAATTTCCACACTTGTTGCAGTAATTTACCAACAAGTTATTATTATGTGGCAGATTATCAGTTAATAAAGACTTATTTTTGTGCAATTTCTTGGACAGTACCGTGTCATGAGTATGATATGACCTCAAAACACTTACTGTATATATATATATATATATATATATATAATTATTATTTTTACTTAAAGGAGCAATGTGTGACTTTTAGCGACATCTAGTGGTTCGGTTGCGAGTTTGCACCAGGTTTGCACTAAGGGCTCAGCCCACTGCTCACCCCTCCCTTTCGAAGAAGCTACGGTTGCTAAAACGGGACAAACATCTCGTCGGCTGAGACAGCAGAGAATAGCCAGAGTAAGCCAAGAGTGTGTAACATTGTCACTGTTTCTGTACCACAGTCCATTATAAACCACATCATGAATACTGTCTGTTTACAAAGCCATAGTCAGGTGAGGATCAAGGGTTTTAATATATAATTTAATAAAATAATAATCAGCTGATTGTCTCACAAACGTAACCAGCAGCACATTTCTCCCCACATACTGTAGCAAACCCATAATACAGCGAGGGAGCAGCTATATATTTTTTCTAACAGGGTAGTAATAGTTTAGCTGGCTAATATGAGCTGTTACTGTGGCTGAGCTGGGACGCGTCCGCATGAGTCCAAAGGTCGGAAGTGCGCGCGCTGTTACAATCATGTCATCTCCGCATCCCATAGATACTATTTACTACACACAATAGGCTTTTTTTCTCTGATTTTTAAAATTCTTCGCGATCGACTTTAGTGATAAAAGACTTTAGTAAAAGTCTCTATCGACGGGTTAGTGATTCCTGTAACGTACTGTTTTACGGTCAATGACATGAATACTAATCATCAGCTGTCTCACGAACGTAACAGCACATCTATCCCCAACATAACAAACCCATAACACAGCGAGGGAGAACTAAGTTACATGAAACAATCCCAACTACATATTTTACACCACTCACAAGGGAAAAGTCACTACTCACGGAGTGTAAGGCTAGCTTCCAGCTTTCCGCTACTTCTCTTTCAAGGTAGTGATGAAACGCGTTCTGTAGCGCTGTTTGTTCGCGTTCGGCTACGGTAGGAATATGACGTCACAACATGGCGACCTTCATAGAAGGGGATTCCCTCGGTTATGGAGCTATTAATGTCTCATTCTAAGGTAATAAAAACATTACGGCTAATTAAGTAAGTTCTTTATACACAACTGAAAACATAGTTATGGATGTCATATTGCATTTCTGTTAATAGATACTCAACTTTGTTACACATTGCACCTTTAAGTAGAGTTTGTCTCAGTGCCAGACCTAAATACATGAGGGCATGTAGAGGGCATCCCGCTCTCATGTCAACTTTCTAAGCAACACAAATGAGCTTTCATATAAACAGCTCATCTGCAGATTCTGCTGGGATTATTGCCATGGAAAAACACTATCACTTGGGATTGTAGCTAGGCTACACATTCTCCAAAGGAGAACTAAGCAGATACACCTCAAGAGACTAATCTTTATAGGATAAAGATCTTCAAGCACTGCTTAAAAATGCGCTTGACAGTGCAGGATTGAAAATTTCATTTTCAATAAGAAACATGCTTCGGAAAGGGCTTGAAATGTATAGCAATACAACAAACTTACACAATTAATTTAATGGAGCAAATCAGGAAATACTCACAGCAAACAGATGGCCGATGCACACCGACAGACCAATAGCCAGTGCTGCCGAACCTTTAAGATCACTGCGCTTGGGGTCACAGGTGGCAAAGACGGTGAAGACAAGCTCAAAAGTGATTATGAGCTCTATCACAATGGCATGACCAGTGGAGATTTCAGTATTGACCTGCAAGGGACGATAGTGAGTTACTTGTATAGTGTGTTTATCGAAAACTTGCTTGACACCAGTGTTTTTCAAACAATCTCCTGGAGGCCCCTACCACTTACACATCTTAGGGATCACACCAATGAGACATGCCTTATTTAAGTTATTGAGTACTCTACTAATGACTGATGAGTTTAACCAGGTGTAAAACGCCTTGCCTTAAAGTGATTGCCCAAAACCAAAAATAATCTGTCATCATTTACTCACCCTCATATTGTTCTGTACGACCTTTTCTTCTGAGGAACACATTTGAGGAAGATATTATAAAGAATGCCTCGAGTGCTTTTTGCTCGTACAATAAAAGTCAATGGGGTCCCAAATAAAACAGAACCTTGTTGACTTTCATTGCATGGACAAAAAAAAAAAAAGACAAGTCATTTTTGGGTAAACAATCCCTCTAATTAAGAAATACTCACAGAAGTCACTCCCAATCCTCCTCTCACTGATGCTGGTGTCACTCCATATAAGATGGCCGCCCCCACTATTGCCCCCAGGCATTGTGCCAACAAATAAAAAACACCCTTTGCCAGGCTCAGCTTCCGCGTGGCAACCATCGCCGCTGTAACGGCCGGGTTGATGTGGGCACCACTGATGTGCCCGAAACACTGGACGAGGGTTGCGATGGATAAGCCAAAGCAGAGAGAGATGAGGACGAGGTCGGCAGGCGGAGGGTTCTCCTGTTTTGCGGTCCAGTTGATTGTGGATCCAAGACTAAGCAGCACGAATATTATCATGGCTAAAAACTCCCCCAAAACCGCTCGCCAGAACTCCTGAGTCCACACACCCTTGAAGGCTGCCATGACACTGTTATTGCATGAGCAAGACGACACAAACCTCCTAAAGGAATAAAATGAGAGAGAGAGAAAAAAGTTGGTGATCTGTTTATGGGATTCATACCATAAGACCACTAGTACACTTCTGGTGTGCATTATTTTTGTTTTGTTTGTGGATTTGGTTTGTCCCACTTTTGCTTTTTGCTTTTTGTCCCCCTTTTGTCACGACATGGATTTTTTATTTTAATATTTATACCTTGATGTTGACTAAAAATGTAAATATTCCTTGCACATAAACATTATCCATATAAAACCATAATTTACAGACAAAACATGAAATTACTCTGCTGTCAGATCCAATACAGTTTGCTGCTTTATCTTTCAACAAAAGTTTTTTTGCGAACGCTCCACTTTGCAAACTTTTCTGTGCCTCACTGACAAAACCATAGGCTACAAACAAACAATATAATACTCCAAAGAGATCCAGGATGGCATTAAAATAAACCAATAAAACAATGTAGTTGTTTCCAACGCTGGGATCTTTCTGAAGTCTGTACAAAGACGCAAACAAGCTGTTTAAACTGGAAGCGTCAAATCGAACGTTCTTTCACTCTTCCGTGGAGTATGCCAGAAACTGAACGCACATCTGACTACTGTATCATGCCTATGGTTCGATGATTTGTGGATGTTTTGCTCTGGAGACAGTCATATGCAACATATAGCCCGTGATATGTCACAGATCCCTCAATATCACAACGAGCCGTTTTTTGGAGATGTATTAAGTTATGAAACTTGCAAGATGTTTTTATGGTACAAAGACCTCTTATGATTTATCATGGCATGCTCGCTTTAATGATCAAGCCACATTAACTCCGCAAGTTTGTATAAACATGATGGTGATCTAGCATGATTGAGACGATCCAAAGTGTATCTTTGTTTTTTGACTGTACAGTCGAATAGTCCATGTCACAAATCTACTTGTTTGACCTAAGAACAGTGCAGAATCTTTCATTATGACTATATTTTGTCATAATGTTTGTTTTAAAAATCTTAAAACTTTTTTTAATGTCAGATTTGAGAACATTTGGACCCTGCTGTAATTGTTATACTGTGGAGGAAAGAAGATTATTGCATTTTTTGACAACAAAAACAATGAGTGAGAATATAATGTGCGAGAATATACAGAAAAACTATTTTCAAGATTTTCATTCTATAGTATAAAGACTGATATAGTGTTTTGATCTCTTTCTGCATGGTTTTTAATCGTCTCTTCATGCAGTTAATCTGTGCGCTCCTTCCAAGTGGAAATTCATTTAATTAGAGTGGCCTCAGTTTCCTTTCAAAGATTCCACAGAGCACATGCTCGGAAAAATTCCAATAATAAAATGGATCTATTATTAACCAAACTTCAACTATTCAGTAGGCTATACATCAGGAAAATCCATATAGAATGCACATTAGCAACACAAGGACACTGAAAACATCACGAAGCATTTGTTGTGGAATATACAAAATACATTTTAAAAAGCCCATGGTGACCATAGTTTCTGACAAGTTATTACAGTAAACTTTTATAACTTTGTTTTGTTTACTGTCAGCAACATATTTAAAGGGCTAACTTAGGTCACTTAAAATTTAAATTCTGTCATAATTTACTCACCATCAAGTTGTCCCAAACCTGTATGCATTTCTTCTGCTGAACACAAAGGAAGATATTTTGAAGAATGTCGGTAAACAAACCGTATTAATTGATAGGCTTTTGCAATAATGCAGAACTTCAAGAGGAAATGAATATGGATTTTTTGGGGGAAACTGATAAACACTACTATGGCGCTGGTTACATTAAACGGTTCTCTAGCTATATGAAAATGACGATGATTGGATGATTTTAAACGATCATTGCGGGGATCAGTAATGTGTTGCCTTGGCAGGTGTGAAGCCAACTAAAACGTCATGTGAAATGTGAACATTTAACCCTGTGTGATCAAAGAATAAAAACTTATTATATAGAGTCCAAATCAACAAACTAACTTACCAAATAAAGCCACGACTTCTGTTAGCCGAGACCCGCGAAAACGCCTTTCTCATCCCTGAACAAGCATCCTCTCAGTAGGAGAAGTTTACCTCAAACAAGACATCTGATAGGTGTGATGATCATTTCAGCGCGTGCTCATTACGATCAAAGGTGTGTGTGAGTCAGCGTGTCGTTCATACGTTCAGCATCTCCTCCCTCTGATTCACTCACACACCCACACGCGCGCGCGCTTGTTTCCACGGTGCACCGAATTAAAACTATTAAGTTTAATTAAACACGACCGCATTAAACTACTCGTTGTTATGTGCCTTGGCGTCGTGCTTTTTTCTTGAGACTCTTAACTAAACACTGTAAACAATCATGATCAATAATTTATGACAACAAATGTTTTTACATTGTTTTAACTTATCAAAATAAGTTAAACATTTTTAGCTTAAAAAAAAAAACAAGTTAGATTCAAGTCAGTTGTTAGTTTAAGTCAATAGATTCAATAAGTTAGATTCAATTACATTCATGTAATAAAAATTGAAATGACTTAAACTTCCACGTTGGCTATACTTCAAGGCAGCAGCTTTTTTTTAATAGTAATGCAACTAACTAACTAATGCAATAAATATCTTAAATATTTGTAATAAAAAAACCTCTATTATATAAATACAACAAAAACAACATCAACATCAATATAAGTAGGCCCTAATAAGTAAACAAACAAGTACATCAATATTTAAACGGCGGTTAAAAATGAAATGATGACTCAAGAATGCCAGATTATAATTAAGGTGCACTTGTACACTAATCCAAATTATGACATTACATTTTCACACTCCCTAATTTTGTCTATATCCTTGTTTATCTTGATTTATGGAGGGACCTGTGTTTGAACCTCATAAACATGTTCCATGTTCAATATGGACAAACATGAAAAAAACTAAACTGCAGACTCTTTATTGGCAAATATTTCTCCACCAATGCAATATTATTTTAAATTAAGAGATCAGTGCCTGCACAAAATTTATTTATTTACTGCACATTTGAACATATATATTTTTTTAAAGCATCAAGGCACTTAAAAATGTGTTCATAATACAGAATAAAAAAATAAAAATATACAATAGCATGCCAGTGATCTAACACTTTTGCTCTTGAACTCACCTGAATCTGTCCAGGGCTCCACAGCTTGTCATGCCTTCCTCAGCCTGTCTGGCAGCTCAGTGTGCTCCTCTCTCAGTGTCGTGTTACCATGTCTTCATGGTCAAATCAGAGCGGAGAGACCAAAGCACAGAGAGATCAAGCTTTCGGCACAACTGATCTGACAGCACTGACTAAACCAGTGACACCACTCACACATGCAGCACTCGCCTCATGTTATCTAACACACGCAGTTACATGAGATCTATCTATCTATCTATCTATCTATCTATCTATCTATCTATCTATCTATCTATCTATCTATCTATCTATCTATCTATCTATCTATCTATCTATCTATCTATCTATCTATCTATCTCAGAAATATTTAACATCATAACAGTATAAATTTGTAATATTTTTGATCATTTGAATGCATCCTTGTTGAATTTAAAAGAGTAGTTCACTTTTTAAAAAAAAACTTTTGCTGATAATTTACTCACCCCCATGTCATCCAAATATCCTTGTCTTTTTCTCTTCAGTCGAAAAGAAATGAAGGTTTCTGATTAAAACATTCCAGGATTTTTCTCCATATAATGGACTTCAATGGGAACCAAACGGTTGAAGGTCCAAAAGAGTTTCAGTGCAAACTGCAAACTGTTCAAAGAGCTTTAAATGATTCCATACGATTAATACGTGTCTTATCAATCGAAACGATCAATCGCTCATTTAAAAAAAAATGAAAAGATTATAAAAGTTTAAGTTTTATAAGCTCAAATGGTCGCCTTGCTCTGTTCTGTGATGCGCGTTCGTGACTCCTGTCCTGTTCGAACTTGTTCATCAAAATGAGCGAATCTTTTTTCGTGTCATTTGGTTCATTCAACGGACGAAATGAACGAGTTGGAAAAGATTCTTTCATTTTGAAGAACAAGTTTGAACAGGAGAGTCACGAACGTGCATCACAGAACAGAGCGAGGTGACCATTTGAGCTTATAAAACTTAAACTTTGTTATTTTATTTTAAAATGACTGATCGTTTCGCTTGATAAGACCCGTATTCGTCGTCTGAAATCGTTTAAATCCCTTTGAACAGTTTGCAGTTTGCACTGAAACTGTCTTTTGGACCTTGAACCATTGGTTCCCAAGTTCATTATATGTAGAGAAATCCTGGAATGTTTTCATCAAAAACCTTAATTTCTTTTTGACTGAAGAAAGAAAGACATGGACATCTTGGATGACATGGGGGTGAGTAAATTATCAGCAAAGTTTTTTTTTAAAAGTGTACTACTCCTTTAAGTATTCAATTCTAAAAAACAACAACAACTTTAAGGAGTCAGTTGTAAGCACTTCAGACACACACACACACGCACGCACGCACGCACACACACACACAAAAAAAACGGTCACATTTCCAACCACAACATCTCCAAGGGCTGAGTAACCACTGAGTAACCAATTCCAATTGAAAACCAAATGAATCAAATAATTATGTTAGTTTCATCACATTTCAGCCCATTCTCACCCCCAAGTTACCCCCCTCTCACTTAACTGACGCCTTGGGAAGAATTTGGACATGCTTCAATATCTGACGCTTTAGGCGCCCTTTAGCGTCAGTTAGATGACGCATTAGGATCGCGTGTACCCTACCCCCACCCAACGCATTCTCATCCTTTAACGTCATATAGAGCGCTATATGACAAAACGGCGCTATACTACGCTAAAGGCACCCGTTATCGTTAATATAACACGTGCTGTGAGGGCTAAGTTTAGGTGTGGGGTAGGGTGTACGTGTCATATTCACGCTAAAGGATTTATAACGTCTTGGGTTCGCGTGTTATATTAACGATAATGGGTGCCATGTGCGTAGTATAGCGCCGTTTTGTCATATAGCGCTCTATATGACGTTAAAGGATGAGAACGGGCTGCCCCACCCCACACCTAAACCTAACCGCGTCCTCTAACTGACGCTTGCCTTTAGCGTCAGTTAGATGACGCCCTAGGATCGCGTGTACCCTACCCCCACCCCACACCTAAACCTAACCGCGTCCTCTAACTGACGCTTGCCTTTAGCGTCAGTTAGATGACGCCGTAGGATCACGTCATGTAAAGGCGCTTTTCCACTGCATAGTACGGTACGGTTCGGTTCGGTACGTCTCACTTGTGGTGCTTTTCCACTGCATGGTACGGTACAGTACGATTCGCTTCGGGACGCTTTAAATGGTACCTGGTCTGTTGAGGTTCCAAGCGTACCGTACCGGTACTAAAATGTGACGTGAAACACTGCAGATCACTGATTGGTCAGACAGAATCGTCACTACCAGCGTCACTACTAGCGTCATTGGATTTGCGACATGAGACACAAGACACTTTTTTTATCAGTATTTTTGTTTTGCTGCCATCAGCCTCATTTTAAACACATTTTTCCGTCTAGCAGTTAAAAACAACCACATACCGAGAATCAGGAACACCATCCCCTCGATAGTCTCCATTGTTCCTGTGTTGTGGGTTTGAAAACGTGGTGCTTTTAAGATGATGTCATGGCAGTAGAGGCGCGCGCAAATAACGATCAGCCCCACACACTTTGAAGGGGTACTACTGCAGTGGAAACGTAAAGCGATCCGAACTGTTCCGCGCCGAGTCGAAGTGTACTGAGCCGAACCGTACCGTACTATGCAGTGGAAAAGCGCCATAAGTGACGCTAAAGGGCGCCTAAAACGTCAAATATTGAAGCATGGTCAAAGGTGACGCCTTGGGGTGAGAATGCGTTGCACATTTTTGATCAGGGTTTGAACTGAACATGTGACTCTAGAGGAGAGCTGTTTGTGTCTATAGCGGTTTGTTCATTTGTAAAAATGTGATTTCTATCTGTCTGTAAGTATCCAACAGATTTCCTGGTTGAGGTCGAATGCATTTGTTTAAATAGTTAAATGTGAAAAGCCTTTGAAGAGAATCATATCCGACAGAGAACATGCTGAAGGATACAGGGTGTTGGGGGGCTGCCAGAAAAATTGTCATAGTAGTGTGGAAAGCAGCTCTTTAATTCTATCTCTTTGAGATTGTCAGGGTTATATGGAAGGTGTGAACATTCACTGGGACGTCTGCTAAATAAGTAATGGAATGTACTGTATATTACGGGCAGTGTGTGAATGTGTTATATCCACTCAGAACTTGATGTGCTCATTAGTAGGAGACTCGGAAACAATTCCTCATTGTGTATTTGTGTGTCACACACAAGTGTAAACAGAATTTCCATACAGGTTCTGCCAGGATCCATGTTTGTCCTGCAGTTACTGCTGTAATGATGAACAATTAACTAACTGTGCTGTCGGTGTTCCACATTTCATTTTCTCATTCCCTCTCTGAGCTGTTCAAGCATATGTTATCTTACATTATGGCAGATGGATTATAACATCATTAAAAGTCATCCCTGATAATATTCAGACTCAATCCGAGTCACGAGAAAACAAATGCACATAAATACACACTGGTAAATCTAATTGCAGTGCGCTGATCTAAACTAAAGCCAACAATTCAAGCCAGATTAAGCACTGTAGAAAGTCATTATTGCATAAAGATTTCTCTCTTTGTTATGTTGGAATTTGCAATGGCTTTGGAGGGGTAAAGGTGGCGGGAGATCTGTGTTTGTGTGTGTTTCTATATGAAGAGTTCAGATGCAAAAGCCTCTAAGTGCCATTTGAAAATTTCTTCTAGAATGATAATTTTTATCAAGCTTGTATATTTAAGTTCAGTGATTTCACTTAAATGGCAATGATAATTACCTATTAATTGTTATTTAAGTGAAATTACTGAACTTAAATATACAAGTTTGATAAAAATCATCATTAAAGAAGAAA